GCAAGATGACAAAACAAGACACATTTTCCTAACACCTGGGATCCTGTCACAGTCTCGCTTGACATTAACTGTTTTTCGTTCACCTTATTTCGCCGTATTTGTGTAATCTGGTGAAAGAAGCTTCTCGCGCCTCAAACTAATGAAGAATTAATTGAGGTCAACAATTCTCAAAGATAGGTTGAAACATTAGGTAATTCTTGCTATTGAGCGTGATCTATGTAGGAAACAGAATTATCATGATATACACCCAAGGCTCGTATAAGTAATTCTGTAATTCTCTTCCCTACCCAAACTTGGCCCCGCGAAATCCGTTTCGCATAGGGACCCACAATGCTTAAGTCCGGCCCTAGTGCTATTTAGTGACGGGTAGATTACTTGTTCTCTTTCCATGACTTCTTGGTCACAATGGTTAAGTCCGGCGCTGCTATTTAGTGTTTGTAAAATGTTTTACATGTTTCGGATGTTCCTGCAGAGTTGAAGATAGTTAACTTCTTAGCCCAAACCTCCCGCAAGACGAGGGGGGATGGGAGCGGGCAGGGTTTGACAGTCCCGCGCAGCCATCCGTAGCAACGTGTGTATACACACGTGTTCTCCCTCCCACCACTTGTTTTTTCGTGGGGTGGCTATCCGCAGAAATAAGAGAGTGATCTTTCCTTTACTTCTTATTCTCGTCCAAACTGTTGAGGGGAAGAAGAGAATTATAAATAGAGAAGATAGAAGTTTTGATTTATATATTATATACATTCAAATTTATCATTACTTACATCACATGTTTCCAAATAATGTAATACAAATTTCAGATATATTTATTTAAACAAGGTTACAAAGACAGTTTGTGTGGAAACACAAACTTAAAATCGGCCCCCGAAGAGGTCCACCCAGGCAGGCTTCAATATTTTCAGAAAGAACATCCAAATGAAATTATATCAAAGACAAATGAGAGATAAGAATGGAGTAAGAAGGTTGACAGATCTTGTGTAGTAGTTTTTGTGGTCTACGGTTAGCGAGGGTGTCATGTAGCCATCACAACGACCAACCGCCTTTACTTTTCCCCTACTAATGTCAGGTACCCATTAGAGCTGGGTAGACTCAGAGGCGCCCAAGGATTCCGAAGTTGAAAATCCCAGTGTTCACCAGGATTCGAACCCGGGACCCTCGGTTCGGAAGCTAAGCGCTTTACCGAGCCTCTCCTGGTCTTTACACAATGGAATTGTTTTGAAAAGGCTTAATTTTTTATTCCGGCATTGCCGGACTATTCATAACGTTGAAGAAAATAAAGTTTATAAGATTACTCTTCGTTTTAAAGTAGGTCTAACTTATAATGCATACTAATTAGCTTTTTCTCTTTAAAAAAATGCTGGCATAACAGATTTTAAAAATTAGATTTTTCGCTTTCAGGAAAAAAAAAAGTAGCCGTTGCATCAGAACTTTGAATGGTCTAAAATATTGTGATGTCGGATTTTCAATATCTTTTCTAGTTTACGAGATCTAAACGGGACAGACGGACAGATATATCGTATAAAACTAATAGCGTCTTTTTCCCTTTCGGGGGCCGTTAAAAATCTACTGTTTTAAACAGGTGAATTATCTGTAAATAAAAATGACTAGTGTATGTTAATTAGAAGAAAGGAATGAAGGAGGTTGTGTACATTATATTTTTTTTTCGGGGGGGGGGGTGGGGGGATTTTTTTAGCGCGCCCCCCCCCCCCGCGAAAAAAAAAATAGTATTAATTAGTTAGGGTTAATTAATTATTATTAGTTTATTATGCCCTAGAATGTTTCTTCCTGGAGTTAGTGGGATTCCCACGCCACTGCCAGCAATGGGGTCTGGGGGAGCGCATGGAGCTTCCCCAGCGCGGGGCGAAGCCCCGCCGCCAAGCACTACTCTGGTATTGAAAGCCGACAAAATGAATATTCTGAGATATCTACAGTAAATTTTCCACATTTAGTGTTTTTCAATTTCGGCAGATGACTTTTCAATGCACTTTATTAATGGAGCCCCGCCACTGGTAGAAATGTGTAACCTCTCTTGAATACGCTCTTGGAATTAGGTGACTGTAGTTTGCTTTAGATTTTATATCGAAAAGGGAAGTTTTATCGTCAAAATCATCTGTTGTGGATTTTAACTGAAGTTGTTGCTTTTTTAATTCAAAACCCCATTTAGCTACGGTCTTAGAATTTGGTAACTGTTTGCTTTACAATAATATTGAAGATAGAGGTTTTCCACCTCAAAACTCTCTGTAGAGGGATTTTTAACTCACAAACCATCTGGAGGGGTTTTTAAACTTTTTACGAAAAGCCATCTCTAGGAGAGGGGTTTAAACTCAAAACCCCCAATTGGTTTGGCTACGCTCAAATAATTTTAGTGTTTAATTTGCTTTTTTATATTAAAGAGGTATGATTTTAGCATCAAACCCCGCTGTAAGGGGATTTAAACCCAAAACCCCCTTTGGCAACTCTCATAGCATTTTGAGTGCGTTATTTGCTTTTTTTTATATTGAATAGTTATTTTTTTTAGCTTCAAACTCCACTGGAGGGAGTTTAAATTCAAAACCCCTTTGACTACACTCATAGAATTTTGAGTTTTTAATTTGCTTTGTTTTTAATATTAAAGAGGTATTTTTTTTACCTTCAAACCCCGCTGAAAAGGGTTTAAACGCTCATAATATTTAAGTGCATAATTTACTTTTTTTTTTATATTGAAGAAACATTTTTAGTTTCAAACCCCACTGAATGGGGGTTTAAACTCAAAACTGAGTCGAAACCCATTTTCCTATGCACATAACATTTTGAGTTGTTAATTTGCTTTTTTTTATATTGAAGAGGTATTTTTTTAGCTCCAAACCCTACTGAAGAGGGGCCTAAACTCAAAACCCTCATAGAATTTTGAGTGTGTAATTTGCTTTTTTTTTATATTGACTAGGAAGTTATAAAATCAAAATCTTCCTTCACTGTGGCTCTTGGAATTGGGGGATAGTCGTTTGCTTTTTTTTTTGTTTTGTTTTTAGAAGAGAGGGATTTAAATGCAAAAAAACCTGGTAGGGGGTTTTAAACTCAAAATCCGCTGGTAGGGGGTTTTAAACTCAAAACCCCCTGATAGTAGTTTTAAACTAAAACCCCTCTGGTAGCGGTTTTAAACTCAAAATCCCTTGGCTGCGCTGGGGTAAGTGATGGTATAGTATTAAAATGTCACCTAAAATAAACAAAATCAAAGCAAAAAAATCAATTACCGTGGGGGGGGGGGGGGGTTCTTTTCGGGGGGGGGGGGAGGCCCATGATATATATATATATATATATATATATATATATAGAGAGAGAGAGAGAGAGAGAGAGAGACGTCTAGCACCTGCTTACATTTGACGTCCTGGTGATATAATTATCCTCCCCTCGTCTATCAAGTTTTATCGACAACTTAACCCTTAGGTAAAATTTACAGCGTATCGGAAGGTAAGGGGGCGCTCTCTCCTTCCCCCGAAAAAAAGTTTACTTACCAACTTTAATCAAAGTAAATCAACAAGAGCTTATGTAAAAACTTCACACACAAAATATTTTAAAATTCTATTAAGAAAACAAAAACAAAGCTTATTTAAAGGAAATAACTCCTCGCTTTCAAATCTATCTCCCAATAATGTAGAAGTTATTTCCCTTGATCGATGTCGAATAAAAAAAAAATTACCAATAATAATTGACGTTTTGATGTTTAAATTGATTTATTTGGCTAGTGCAAGAAATAATCGTTCGAAGTTTAGTCTTGCTCCGAGTGTGGGAGATATAACGTGTTCAATATCTAAAGGGACGAAACCCTTCATAGTTAGCCGTATCTGTGAATACTGAAGGATTAATTAATATTTTTGTTATCAAACAAAATAATTAATTATCAGCAATTAATTGACAAATTGTTTTTTTTTTTATATTGATTCATGTCTTGTCTATGCCAATACATAATTCTGCAAAAGTTTTAACTTGATCCGAGAAAGGGTGTGGGAGAAATAACCTGTACAAACTTTTGTAAAAAAAAAAAGCTGAATAAATCTCAGCTAAATTTTCGCTAATGTATGTTTTTCTTTAAACTTTATTTTCAGCCACAGAAAACGCTATAAAACAAATACAGACTTCAGAGTTTGTGAATTTCGATCAAATCGCTCCAGCCAGCCCAGTGGACACAGCACTGGCCATCGTCCAGGCAGGCGCCAACAGGAAGAACGATCTCTACTACCCTTTCTGGTCTACATGGGTGGTATCGCTGTTACGTAACCTGTTTCCAGGGATGGCTGATAAGGTGATTGTGGAAATGGTTAGTGTTTAAAAAGTATGATTACGTGACTTCAGGTTTTGTCTGTTTTATGGAAAAGAAGTGATTGGATTGAATCCAGATGATTCGGGTTTAATGTAATTGTATGCTTACTTTGATGTAATTGTTTGTTTGGTTCAATGCAATTGTATTTTGTTTTTCATGAGTAATTGTATTCTAGGTTTGGTGTAATTGCGTGTTGGGTTTGATGTAATTGTATTCTAGGTTTGATGTAATTGTGTGTTGAGTTTCATGTAATTGTATTCTAGGTTTGATGTAATTGTGTGTTGGGTTTTCTGGCCTGGAAAAAAAAGGATAACGAAATATGTAAATAGCGTGTAAAAGATCTTCCACTGGAAGTAATGGCAAAGTTTACAGAGAAGATGTGTATCTGATAAGGTTCTAGGCATTGAGAAGAAAAACGACCAAGTCTAAATGTTGTTGATTTGTGTTGGTTGTCAAGGAAGACGAAGTTTTAAAGAATATATGAGAAAAGGAATGTGTTTCATCTAATTGTGTGTTGTGTTTGATGAGATTTTGTATTGTGTTTGATGAGATTTTGTATTGTGTTTGAAGAGATTTTGTAATGTGTTTGATGAGATTTTGTATTGTGTTTGATGAGATTTTGTATTGTGTTTGAAGAGATTTTGTACTGTGTTTGATGAGATTTTGTATTGTGTTTGAAGAGATTTTGTACTGTGTTTGATGAGAATTTGTATTGTGTTTGATGAGATTTTGTATTGAGTTTGATGAGGTTTTTTATTGTTTGTTGAGGCTTTGTATTGAGTTTGATGAGAATTTGTATTAGGTTTGATAAGGTTTAGTGTTGTGGTTTTCTTACTGTTAAAAGAGAATACTTTGTATGTGATGTCGTCTTTAAAGGGATAAATGGCCAGGTTACCATGAAGGGAAGGTGGGGGGGGGGGGGGGGGGGGGGGTATCAGTAAGAAATTGCAATATATGAAATATGAAATGAACTATGTGCTTCTAATGAGCGCTGTTAAACAGCTATAAAAGCAAGTGAAATATATTTGTCAATGTGAGAAGATATTTTAAGACAAATAACAATAACATTTGATTTATTCAAAAAATGTATATTATTATTTAAACCACAGACCTATATGTATATAATAGATAGATGTATGGTTCTGTGACATATTCTATTATCTACAATGTATACTCCCATAAAGTGAAAGTGAAACATGTCAATGTTTTTTGTAACTAAGGCCGCTAAGAAAATTCGTTTATGTTTATTTCTATTATTAGCTGTAATAACTGCGATTTTCGTTGCTAAGTTTTTTTTTTAATGGACCAATTGAGTATGCTTAGAACGCATAGAAATGAAACCAGGCAATGTGGTTATTGGCAATTTGATCATGTAAAGATTGTTATGAGCAATTAGCTTATTTAATATTTTAATGAAATGGTGGTCAAACTTGGACATGAGGGGTCTATATATTTATCCGCTGTCCGACACACATGTCGCTGTGTGTCGCGGACCTCGTCACTTCTAGAAATCGGTCGAGTCAAATGAAACTCTGCGCCTGTGACTTAATGTCAGCAGACGTTACGACAGCACCGCGTCACGAGCCGGAAATGGCCCGCGTGCCCTAGATTTGACATCACTGTTTTAATGTGAACATGTTTAACCTCAGGAATTGAGAAACCAGATCAAAATATGTTATAAAGGTCAGTGGGAGGGAAATTTTTTTGATGACCTTAAGACCTAATTATGTACACACTTAAGCTTTATGTATTCTGGTTGATGAACATGATTGCATTAGACTGAATTTTAAGTCAGATTTTTATGTTACATCCAGGTTTGTATTTGTCTTCTTCTTATTTGTTTGATTGCTCCTTCTGGCACAGAAAGCGCTCATTCCCATAGCTTAATAATTGTTTTTTGTTTTGTTTTGTTTTGTTTTAGAGAGTCTTGTAAATTAATACGTATAACAGTACTTTGCAAATTCCCTAAACTCCAAATTTAAACAAAAATATCGCTAGTTTAAAAAACAGCTAAGACATCAAAGCCCACACTATATAATACAGTCTAAGCCTCTAATATGAATCTTAAGATATAAAAACGGTTCTTTAATACCTAATTACCATATGAAGTTCCTATTTTTCGATCAATACCATACAATCCTCCAGAGCTGTTCGCCGCTTTGGACGGCAAGCTGTCTCCATCAAAATCGTCTCCTGCAATGCCTCTTCCCAACTGATATTCGCTCATCATCATTTTTCCTGTTGCGTTCCTCATGGAACTTAGGGCATCAGCAAAAACCCACCGCTCTCCACGATCTCTTGCTAGTTCTTTAATGACTTCCCAGCTCTTTCCTGTCTTTTTGGGCTTCATCTAGTGCACTGCGTCGCCACGTTCTTTTTGGTCTTCCTTTACGTCTTGTGCCCTGGGGGTTCCACTCTAAAGCTTGTCTATTAATGTCCACTGCTTTTGGATGTTTCATGAAGGTGTGAAGCCATGTTTTGCGAGGAAGTCCCATTTTGCGATTTCCTCGTCTCGGCCTCCATCCTATTTTTATCATTGGGGCGCCCGATTTTTGTTCATGTGCCAGTTAGGATTGGTTTCTTTGCATTAAAAAAGGCCTGCTATTTATCGGGCGTTTGAAGTTCGGTCAGATCTGGTCTAACGCCTTCATTAGGAGTCTACCGCCCTCGTGTCATGTCTCTGTGGCTTTTGAAGTTCTACAGGATAGGGTCGCTAGCCCCACTGTCACCCCTCCTCCTTTTGTCATCCGTATTTAGGACCAGCCATGGCAGAGTTGTGTATACATAGAAGGCCTTGAAAAATCGTTTACGTTCGGAGCATAAGAAATACAAAGGAGTTGATCCAGGTACATCTTGGGTTGTTTTCTGGCATAACTTCAACCTTTATAAAATATCATAGACTAAAATAATATGATTAAACAGACCTTGCAATCTATAGGGCAGAACAACATAGGTTAACGAGCGTGTCATGTAGCCAGCACAACGACCAACCTACTTTACTTTTCCCATGTATCCATAAATGGTAGGTGGACTCAGAGGCGCCTCAAAAATGTCAAAAGTCAAAATGAGACCGGGATTCAAACCCGAGCTCTCTCAGTTGGGAGGCCTAGCGCTTTACCACTCAACCACCCACGCCCCTGATTAAATATATAATAATTCTATTTGTTTAATTTTTTTTCATATGATAATCATTATATTTCTTGAAATCCTGTTAGAATCGACCCAATACCAACCAGTTTGAACGTTATATGTTTGGTTCATGTCGTTGTCTCAGTTGAGTATTGAGTTGTGTGAGTGTGGCAAAGGCCATTGTTGATATTGTTTAGCTGGTCACGTGGTCACTGTGATATCCAAAGATAGCAATATAATTGATATTTTTAAAAATAATTTATTGTTGCTCAGTATTTGATTATATCAGCATTAAATTTAATTGAACTATAACTCAGAATTGTGTTGTGTTGACTTTTTATGATTGAATGGTGTGAGTAATAAAGTGGACTCTTGTATAGCTTCCATATTGTATTCGGTTCTCTCTCTCTCTCTTTATTCTTTATTCCTTTTTTTTCTTCTCTTCTTTGCTTTTTCTCTTTCTCTCACTCTTTCTCCTGTCTTTCTCTCACTCTTTCTCCTGTCTTTCTCTCACTCTTTCTCCTGTCTTTCTCTCACTCTTTCTCCTGTCTTTCTCTCACTCTTTCTCCTGTCTTTCTCTCACTCTTTCTCCTGTCTTTCTCTCACTCTTTCTCCTGTCTTTCTCTCACTCTTTCTCCTGTCTTTCTCTCACTCTTTCTCCTGTCTTTCTCTCACTCTTTCTCCTGTCTTTCTCTCACTCTTTCTCCTGTCTTTCTCTCACTCTTTCTCCTGTCTTTCTCTCACTCTTTCTCCTGTCTTTCTCTCACTCTTTCTCCTGTCTTTCTCTCACTCTTTCTCCTGTCTTTCTCTCACTCTTTCTCCTGTCTTTCTCTCACTCTTTCTCCTGTCTTTCTCTCACTCTTTCTCCTGTCTTTCTCTCACTCTTTCTCCTGTCTTTCTCTCACTCTTTCTCCTGTCTTTCTCTCACTCTTTCTCCTGTCTTTCTCTCACTCTTTCTCCTGTCTTTCTCTCACTCTTTCTCCTGTCTTTCTCTCACTCTTTCTCCTGTCTTTCTCTCACTCTTTCTCCTGTCTTTCTCTCACTCTTTCTCCTGTCTTTCTCGATCTTTCTTTTCTCTCACTGTTTTTTCTTTTTCTCAAATTCTCCTTTTCCCCTCATTTTTTAGTTTTCAACACGTAAACTCTACTAAAAATACACTGAACTGAAACTCCTGCAATTCAATAGCCGTCCTCCATCGTTTAACTCCCTCACCTTACTCTCTAAGTTCTCTCGTAACTCCCAATGATGTAACATATATTTTAGATACAAAAAAATCTTTTAAAAAAACAATCCTACAAGGTTAAATCACAGGCAGACGAAAAGCAACGAAAACTGAACAAAAAAGTGGTCAACAGTTTGACCGGTCTATCTTTCTCTGACTCATCAAGAGCAGCAGGGAAGCTAGATAAATATCGAGAAATAATGAAATAGTCGTCATTAGTTCATACTTTTAGACGGACCGGTTTGGGCTGCCTAGTTGAATCTCTTTTTGATCAAATTACACCCAGCATACTTGGGGAAAACACCATTACTTCAAACAACAGATTGACCCCCCCCCCCCCCATAACTCTCTACTTCTTAACCATGTTTTGAAATGTTGTACATGTGTCCTTCAGAGTTGAAGATAATCTACTTCTTAGACCAACCCCCCCCCCCACCCCCCGCAGGACGACGGGTGATAGCAGCGGGCAGGGTAAGAGTTCGGGACCAAGCCCAAACGACTGTCCAGCGCGCCTACCGCACGACCAGGCAGCCATCCATATGAGCATTTAATCTCTTATCTAGCCCTCCAGAAAGTGTCCGCCTGCCTAAGTGTGGAGTAGGCCCTTAAAATATTTCTTTGTTCTAACGGAGACTTCATTGCAGTTGATATTGTTTTAAATATTATAATATACACAGGACAATGATTAAACAACACTGGGGCAGATATACCGAACAATAAACTATTTATTGAAATTTAAAAAAAATCTCTCCTTCCTATAATCAAATCACATAAATATTGCGTTTGACTATTATAACCATTTTCCATACAGGAACTAAGAAAGAAACTCAGATTCCCTACATAAATAAAATCGCTATTTACATACAGTTGTGCTGCACATCTAGAAATATATTCATTAATTTTTTTTATAAAACCCCTCTATTTCTTAAATTGTTTTTATGGAAATGCAAAACAATGGATGCAACAGTACTACGGATAATAATCAAAACATGTTGCCTGGATATGAGAGCTAGTCGAAAACGATGTTTAGCATATAATTGTCTTAGTTTTGTTCAATTTGACTAGCGGTTCCAATAATATGAATTAGTACGAAACGCTAAAAATGGTTTTCATTAGCATTAAATTCTTGTAAAGTGTTTAGAATATCTTTCAGTTCTAGAAAAGAACTTGTCTGGATAGCTACATAATTTTTTTACGAGATGAATGTATGTGACTTAAATAATTCCCTAAATTTTGTTACCTAAATACTTGACATTTGCTTGTAACTGATTGACCGCACTCTCCAGAAATCTATTTTTTTTAACTAAATATTTTATAAGTAACAAATGTTTAAGATGGCTAAATGGTGAATTTCAATGACGACATCTTCATCTTCATTTCTTTGATAGATACAAAAACTAAAACGGAATATTTTGTTTTCTCCGGAATCAAGTGAAATGATTGAAATAATGAACAGAAACTTTGCTTGTAGTTATAAGAATTTGAAATCACTAAAACAGAGAACAAAAAAAATTGTGATCTCCAAAATACTTCTGCTATAACATGTTTTTAAAAAAAATTCTTTCACT